AATAAATAGTATTATATTGATTGTATAAAATGTAATAAATAACGTATTTTGTAGTTCTGAATGAGCATGTCCAATTAATTACCTGAAAAATATTAAACTTATTATAAAAAATTCTTATGTGGTTTTAAGAAATTTTACTATAACATTAAGATAAATTAATTTATTTGAATAACAATTTCTTAATCAAATAAAAAATATAATATTAATTTTAGAATAAATAATTTGTACACAAAGAATTTACAATATAATTTTTATGGTTTATGTAACTGTCATATATCATTTAGTGTAAAATGTAACTATTAATTTTAATAATAACTATTATATTATATAATAAAAAAATATAATTATTATTCAATTAATATAATAAGTAACGAATTTTGTCTTAATTAACCAAAAAAAAGTGCAAGAAATTTTTTTTATCATTAATGGGATATAGTGAATTAATGTAATAATAATAATAATAATAATAATAATAATAATAATTATTATTATTATTATTATTATTATTATTATTATTATATAGTGTAACGATTTTTGTGATAAGAAAGTTACCAATTGCCTCCTGCTTAATTACACATCAATACACCATTATGTTTTTATTTTTTCTCTCTCCTCTCTATCATTTATTAAGATTAAAGTTTAATGAGGTAAAATTTATTAGGTAAAATTAAATAAATTTTATTTATTAGGTAAAATTTATTGCTTAGATAGCAATTATATATACTAGTAGATATCCTGTGCACATGCACAGATGTACATAAAATATTAATAAGTAATATTTGAGAATTTAATATTAAAATTCTAGATAATGAACATATTACATTTCAAAAATTTGATCATTAGGAAAAATAAATTAATGATTTTATTATTATGAACAATTGTTTATTATTATTAGATGCTAACAGTTATTATTATTATTATTATTATTATTATTATTATTATTAAAAATAATTTTTTATAAGCTTCTAAAGTTGTTTGACTATACTATTAAAACAATTTACTAATTATTTTTAAAGAAACTTTTTCATGAGATACAAAAGAAAAAGATAATATTGATGTTAATATAAATAACTTGAAACAATTGTTTATAATTATGTAATTTATATTTATTGTGAAATATTATTAGTAATAACTATTATATAATATGATATAAACATACATGATTACACTCATTAAGATGTATTAATGTGAAAAGTATAATATTTATGACAAATTTTGTAACCGAAAATGGAGGGAAAAATTTAGAGGTTTTATTAAATGTTTTATTAAATGTTACATGCCAGCAATTATATATATATAGATACTAGTAATTTACCCGTGCATTTGCACGGAGAAGAATAATTAGAAGAGTTACGCATATAAAAATATACAAAATCATGATTTCATTAAAAAAATATGAATTAAGAAAATGATTCTAAATATTATTAAACTATTTGTTGTTTACAATATTCAAGGTTTTTCTATCGTCGGAATCACCATCACCACATCATTATCTTCAAACCCTTCCGATTTGCGACTTTAGAAAGAGCCACGCAACTGTCCATGACTGAAAACAAGTTTCTTCAAGATTAAACCGACGTGTGAGAGAGACTAGTCTTGACTCTTATTGATCGTCATAGCATAGGACACCGAGATTATGTGTTTGATAGCAGATTTTGAATACAACATTCAGAGATGTTTGATAGTAGATTTTGAACTTTTGAGAGTATTATGTGTTTTTGCAAAAAAATTTAAAAACAAATAGGAATTATGTTTCAGCTTTAGGAATAAAGTAAATTAGATTATGGAGAATTAATTCACACGTTATTATTTAAGACATTAGAACAAAGAAAATAAATTAAATATATATAATGACATGATTTCTCCACCCACATGTATATAAAATTAATTGTATAATTATAGCATGATGTTATGATAGTGTGATGTATTACAAATCATGGTAATTTTTTTTTTTTCAATTTTTTGTTATTTGTTGCTTTTGTTTAATGATATCACATTTTATAATAATCGTTATTTAAAGTGATAGTATGACATTTAATAATAATAGCTAATATTTCATTTGTTAATTTGTTTACTGTTATTTTGCAGGTACAATAGCAACAACGGATTGGAGATTGATATTTGCTTCAATTTAAATATGTAATTCTGTAATTTAATTTATTTTTTTATTATTTGCAACTAAAATGATTATATATCAATGCTTACACGTTTTATGTCCAATAATTCAAATAAAGTGCATGATTTGAGGTTGTAATTTAATTCAAAAATAGAAGATAACCGTTTCAATAT